TTAGTCCCACATACCGGATACGGGAACGTGAGTAATACACGTCGTCATCATTGACGAGGGGCTGAACTTTCCGCAACACATGAAAGCCATTACAGAAAAGGTGTCCCGCAAAGTAGGTGCCCTCTGCTGGACTCGGAGATGCTTGAGCCTGGCGGCCCGAGTCACCTACTTGAAGTCCGTGGTTATGCCGGATCTGACATACACATCAAGTTGTTTCGGGTTCGGCCTAAATTCCCAGCAAGCAACGGATCTCCAGTAGGCTCCGGCGGATTATGCTCGCGAAATCACGGAATTATGCTTTCATGGATTCTCACATTATGCTCGCATATTAGGCTTTGGCAGGCGGGAAACGCATTCACATTGTTGTACTTATGGACCCTCAAAGTTCGGGAAATTGTGCATTTTTCATACTTGCAAGTGGCCATAAGTACAACAAAATGCATGAGTATCCCCATGCCAATGAGTCCATGCATTCTAGAGATCAACATGGAAAAGAGAAAACATTATTAAATTTTCTTTTAATCATTAGTTGACTTCTTTTGCAGAAAGATTTTTTCATTGCCAAATTAATTCGTTTGAGTTATCTTTGAAAATTATCATGTTCAACTGTCTTCTCAATCGTCGTACTCCTCTTCTATTTCTCACGTATTTCTCTCCTCTTTCTCTCCCTTTCCTCTCCTATTTCTCTCCTATTTCGCTCTTATTCCTCTCTTATTTCGCTCCTATTTCCCTCCTTCTCGTGTCTTCTGGATTAGGCCTTGACGGATTATGCTAATATTTTCGTGAAATTATGCTTTTCGCATTGCTGAAAAAATTGCAGAATTATGCTATTTTTTAGGTAAAACGAAGTAGCGGTGAGGCATCCTGCAGCTTCATAACTCGAAGAGAATTGGTGAGCACACATGCTCATTCCCTGGGCACTGCAAATTCACAACTCATTTCATTTCACATATAATCATTTTCAACGTTTCGGCAAATTGCCATCATCAGGATACAATATTGTATCCTGATGATGGCAATTTGCCGAAACGTTGAAAATGATTATGTGAAATAAAATGAGTTGTGAATTTGCAGTGCCCAGGGAATGAGCATGTGTGCTCACCAATTCTCTTTTAGGTACAAGTTATCATATTATGCCGCATTATGCTCACATATGCTGCTACATGTAAATGTATATGATGATTCTGTGCAAAATAGCAGGGGATTTTTTTGTAGAGGGCGCTGTACTGTAGTAGCAAAAGTAAGTTCAACGGGGTCAACGCACCGTTCGACCTCGCTACGACCGTCACTGATTGTTATCATGGGAGTCGTAAACCTACGACTTCCTGGTGCATCAACTTACTTGTACTTGTACTTGTAGAACATTTAGAAAAGCGATCCTGTCAGCTTTTCTATTATTGTGTTCACATGGCAAGAAAAACGACACCGCTATGCTACGTACGTTTCTACGTAAGGTGCTCGGTATTTCACTTAGGCTACGTAAGTCTCTACGTAAGGTGCTCGGTATTAGATCTACCAACGGGTGGTAGCCGCGTGCTGTGCACGTGCACGGCAGACATTGTGATGCGCATGCAGTGCAGTCCGTGTTCGGATGTGCATGCGCGAGGAACTTCCTCCTTTGGAACTGCTTCTAGTATGAGCGGTTTCGGATATTTCGTCTCCTGGCCTGGCTTATTTCGTTTCTTCGCTGCTGAGACCTCCTTTCGCGGAATATTTCTCAATGACAGGTGAGTTGACCAGTTCCCTTTGATCCATTTGCTTGTGTTGACTCTTTCATTTACGAAAGGTGTGCTGATTTTGGGCGGAATGCAATAAAGAATGGAAAAGCTGACAGGATCTATTTTCTAAATTAGCTTTTCCGCTGCCGAGGCCTCCTTTTACGGAATACTCGATGACAGGTGATCTCTGAGTTGACCGGTTTCCTTCGATTCATTTGCTTATGCTCACCCTTTCATTTACGGAAACGTGTGCTGATTATATTCGGATTTAGATCCATTTTTATCTCTTTGTCCTTGTCTACAGTGTGCGAAGAACGCGAGTTCACCTTCTTGACGGTAAGGCTTATGTTAGATGTGTTGTCGAAATACTCATATTCATTGTACATTGGTATGTTACAAATAATGCACTAGTCAGTGGCATACTATCGTTGGCAGTTCCCAATCTGAAGGGAAAGGTTCAAGGACCCATTGACCGAGTTTGCAAAATATATTCGCGTATCTGGGAAAATCTCCATTGTGGAGAGGTTCGGTAAACTTGTTTGCTTCATACGAAACAAGCCAATGGGTGCAGTCTCGTCTCGTGAAGATCTCGTACTTGTATGATTGGATTTGTTTACTCGAGTCTGGGCTGTTTAATTTATTATTTGTGAGTACCGCCGAGATTGCACTGCCCCAAATACAGTTTCGTGCCGCCAAAGCAAGAATTACGATCTGCAATATGTTTGTAGTACCTGCAAGAATGTGCTGTACATGTATCGTACTTTCTCTGTTGCTGTTTCAGTTGCCGTCATGTTGCTAAGGCCCTCTTCAGACTTGGTACAAAACAGCCTATAAGTCACATTTACATACAAGTAGAAGTTTCCAGGACAACAACAAGAATCTGGCGAGAAGCCTAAAAAGCTGCCCAATCCTTTCAGGCAGGGTGCCAACCCTTGTACAAGGCAACTTTCCTGCATTTATCGTACTTTCACCAGGCAGTTGTACGAACTTTGTACCCGGGTACGACTGTCCGCTGCTTTCACACATCCCAGCCCCCTTGCGCAATTTCGTAGGGTCAAAGGTTGCCTGTATATTGCATGTAAAATGTGTAGTCTGAAAGCAGGCATGGAAAAATGTTGCCTTTTAGGTTTTATCTGATTTTGTACTGGATTTTCTATGTACGTAGTCTGATGAGGGCCTTAAGAAAGGTTCAGTAGAGAGGTTCTGCAAAACGAAAATTCGAACGAAGTTTCGCGACAGTCCTTGCGAAAGTGTGTACGAATTTTGCGTTCTGCACATTTTCGTAGTTTGCGCGGGCCAAGTGCACGTACGCCATGACCCGATCTCAAAAAAGTGTGTACGACTGTTCACTTCGCGTTCCCTGCAAGTTTCGCGTCCAAAGTTGCGAAAGTTCGTGCGAAGTTTCGCACTTCATGACGTAGAACGAAAGTTCGCATTTTCGTTTTGCAGAACCTCTCTAGTGACTCATTTGTTTCATAGGAGACGAGTCAATGAGTTGGTGTGGCTTAGAATCTTTCGCTGTAGAAGAAATCTATTTGTATGTCTATTGGAGAAATAATTGTATTCACTGGTTATAAATTAGGTTAAGACAAACTCACAGAAATATACCATCGGGCCCTTGGTGTTCGTCCTAAAGAGGTTCGACTGGATATCATTCCTACTCACCAAAAGATGTGTAAGATTTTATTATTATGGAGTGCCTTGTTTATCTCTCAGTACCTCCAACCATAGCCATGCCCCTTATCCTCGGGATCAGTGTAGTTGTTGGAACGAGGTGTCGGACTGAGCAATGTATTTGTTTACATTTTAATACATGTTTATTGTTCTTTCTTTGCTGTGTTGTTTTAGAAAATCGTGGACTAACAGTTTGTAGTCATTAATCTACTTCCAAAAGTTGTATCGACATCAACAGGATTACGATTTCAGTGCAATATGATGCAGGATGACCTTATCACGATAACCCATGATTATAAACCATTATAAACACAGAATTAACAAAAAACATCTGCGACACGCACCTGGTTACATTTCTCAAATAAATCTGATCGAGGGTGGGGAAAACTGAAATCAATATCTGAAAGGCAAGACAATTTTATGACAGTCATGAAATTCTGCTACAGCAACATGCACAGAATGACCTCCGTATAAAAAAAGTATCACCACGGTCCACCACTACTCACATGTTTCCCCGCAGAAGAACATGCATTATGCTAGTGCCATTTTCTGCAAGAAAAGGCTTGCACATCAATACGTATAATACGGTATTGATATGATGTGAAGGCCATCATTTACAAATTGATAATAGGGCATTCCATTGATTGGTGGCAGAAAAAAACAAAAGAAATTATAGCAATAAAAACTGCTTTATGGCAGTTTTCTAAAAAAGGTTATTGTGTTCTAGTCCATGGACCGGACCCCGTCTAAAAAGTAAGAAATTAACGAAATGTAATAGCCGACAATTAAAATTTACACAAAACCTCACAATAATCACACACAGAATGAAAAGCTACATGTAGAAGACCTTTTCCCCTCGTGATCCTCTTTCCTATGCATGCATGACTGCATGTCGCCAATTGTTGGTGCAGTACAAGTTTAGTGTTGAAAGCAGCATTTCAAGTGTTGTGATTATTGTGAGGTTTTGTGTGAAATTTTAATTGTCGGCTATTACATTTCGTTAATTTCTTACTTTTTAGACGGGGTCCGGTCCATGGACTAGAACACAATAACCTTTTTTAGAAAACTGCCATAAAGCAGTTTTTATTGCTATAATGTACATGTGTATGGAATTTGATGCGAACAGGCGGATTATTCCAATTTATGCGATTCGTGTGCAATTTGCCTCGAATTATGCAATTATTCGATTTTGGTAGGAATTATGCGAAAAATTATGCTAGCATAATCCGTCAAGGCCTATTCTGGATGGCAGTCGTGAGTCAGTCACGTGAGAATTCAAGTCGGCAAGAAAACTGGGAGCTCCCATCTAGGGAGCAACACACCCGTGTTATTTTTTTTTTGCGCACAAAAGTGGCTTGATCGAGTCCACAAAACAAAATAATAATACATAGTAAGTAAGTTGTAGTAGAGTCATGGGTATCATTCATGGGTATTGCAAACCTACCAGTACAACTAGTGCTGGCTGATGCAGTACTACTAGTACTAGCACGAGTGAAAGCAAATCTCGTCATCACGTCGCACAGCGCTAGCGCTGCGTTGACCATGTTGACATGTCGATCTCGATCTCGAGTCGAGGAGACAGATTTCGGGCAGCCCGTTCAATCATTCAGTCTTTTCAGACGACAAATTTGAAAGCCTCCCGAAACAGCTGAGTGCCTGGAAGAAAGTTTGAAGATGGGATGAAGGACAACAGGAGTGTAAGCGTATCGAAAAGTGCTGCCCGGATCTGAACACACCGAAGCGGTAGGAGCAACAGGTGTTCCATGGCAGGAATATACCGGTAGCTTGTTTTGACGGCAATGACTGTCCGCTACCGTCGACTTTGCAGAATGAGTTATAGAAAATTGTTCACGGCGCTTCTCGGAGTTCTTCCTCTCCTGGCCATTCATCCGGTGAACGCGGCTAACTGCAAGGTTCGTGAGGGCACCTCATGTGTTTGCGACATGGATGATGGGAGTGGATTTATCAGCCTCATGGACATCAGCAACAACAACGGACCTAGTTCTAAACCATTGTAAGTGACACTATACTACTACTGCGCTCGCTTTGACAACGAGAATATTTTTGTGGGGTTCTGGTGTACGATTGCATACACACTTGCCTGATAATATCCCCAACATGGATCCTGCTTGATCTACAATAGTAACATGATGTACAGTACCGTCCAGCTAGATCGCTCCTCCGCACCATCTCGACAGCTTCGTGGTCCTGCTGCGAAGTTGGAATGAACGAGTGAATCCTGCATGGACGCCGTGCAACATGTACGTGAACATGAAGTTCACATCGTACTGTCGTGGACATGAAAATCCAGTCGATTGACCGGGCTCCAGCGCCCTCAGCGCGTGGACTCTACAGAACAGCGCTTGATCCGATGCGACCAGCGGGCTGCAGCTAGCATGTATGTATGTACTGCTTACTCACGGCTGTGCGACCGGATTTCCATGTCTACGACAGTAGATAGACTGTAAGGCCGCACTCATTTCACCTTTTCCGTAGCTGTAAGGTTCCCACAGACAGTGATCTTCTGCGGCGCCAGGTCTGTACACTCAGCGTCGTGCATAGAGTGAGCTCAGTCATACAAAAATTCCACTTCCCTGGCTGTCTGAGGCCCATGTGGTCCTCAGACAAGCAATGCTATAGTATTATGTTAATGCGAACATGTATAAACTTTCCCTGTTCAAAGGGCAACTGTAGCGGGCAACCCTGGAACAAAATCCACATCATCTCACGTTCCGGTCGCCGGTAGAAAGTAAAAAAAAATAGAATATTAGTTATCGTGTCCATCTCCAACTAACGACAGCCGCTAACACTCGCTGAATCGAGCGGCAGATCGCCTGTGTCGTCTCGTAAATGCTACGATTCTCTGACCCCACCTATTCGTCACTGCTTTCCTCCAACATACGTTGGCTTTTATAATTCAATGTGGCCGGGGGAACGCTGACGGCATCTGCTGCGCTGAATGTCTGGAGAACAGTGGTCAAGTGTGTATGGCCAAGTATACAGTTCTCTCACCACACTATTCACTAATAGATTCTGTAAACCTGCCTGGGAAGGGGAGAAGGGAGAGGGGGGGGGGGGGGGGGGGGGCGTAGGTGAAACACTTACAGTTTTCTGTACAGTATTTTCCGGAGTACAAGCCGCACTTTAAACACAAGTAAAAAGCCCAAAAAAATCAGTGCGGGTCCCCCCCTCCCCCCCCCCCCCCCCCCCCCCCCCCCCGGTTATACTATGATGGTCAAATGATTGGTGATGAAAAGGGTGGATGTCTGTATTTCGTGACAACATGTCTGGGTGCGGCATTTCCGGAAAATGCAGTACATACCATAATGTATCTGTGAATCAGACATTAATGTTTCACGTTGCATTTCAGCGATATGATTGCTCCAGTTAACTCCTGGTGATCTCCGTCTAAGTCCTTTGCTTTGCGTGACAATGAGACTGAACCGTCGGCATCTGTTTAGAGAGGGTGGCATGTCCGATATCAGGCCACACTTAATTTAAATCTCACTGCATTGCTTTCTGTCCTGACTGATTGCGCAGCTTTGATAATATAAAGAATAACATATACGAGTACTCATTCAACCCGTGTACCGCCTACACGACGAACAAGTGCTCAAACAATGTGGCCGTAAGTGAGATGATTCTAGCAATGATTTCATGTGTACAATTATGGCAGGGTTCTAGGCAAGGGTGTGGGGGGGGGGGGGGGAGGGGCGCAGCACCCCCTACTCTGTTTGAGCTACTCACTACTCTAAACCGTGAAATTATTGCGATGGTCTAATTTCTGCGAAATTCGCGACCGCGTGGAAATCGCGAAATTTAGACAGCGCGAAAAGGAGATCCATGAAAGGTTTAGCAAGAATGCCAGAATGCCACAGGTTTAGCAAGAATGCCATTCTGCAATCGCAAAATTGAAACCTCGCAAACCTGTCCGGATTCTGAAAACGCGAACTAAAAACGACGCGAACATTTCACGCTTTACAGAAGTCGATTTTGTCATTTTTTCCGGCAATTCAACGAAAACGCATAGAGAGTTCATGATGGGACACTTGTATGGGATGAAGTCAGTGGTTTGGCCCTGTAAACTGCATTTTGCATGGCAAGACAATTTTGGAAAATGGAAAATGGGTTGCAGGATACCTGTTTCCTCTGCCACCACCCCCCCCCCCCCCCCCTCCCCTACTATTTTGACCTGCCTAAAAAGCTCTACGATATATGCAAGCCTTGCTTGATAGTTGATCATGTTCTCCGCCTTGTTACCTACTGCCATCCTCAGTCATGTATGAGACTATCGCATATTGATCCTCCACTGTAGCTACTTCATTGTGAACCCTGCAACACACCTAAAACAGTGTGTGGGGGGGGGGGGGGAGGTGCAACTTCTAGTCAAAGAACCGTTCACAATGTTGTGGGGTGTCCAATATACTACACTGCCGGCATGTTCACGCTTGCATTGGGTCTATTGATTGTTTGTTTTCCGGGGCCATTGCCACCCGCTCCCATATTCTCTACATGTATATTGAAGATGCAATGCCGGAAATTGGACATTGAGAAAGGGATGTGCCTAACCTAGCATGGCGTGTATGTCGAGTGTATCAATTCTGGCGGGCGAACTAGCAATTCCGACTTCTCTTCAAAATTGACGGAATTTGTATAATCGAACAGGGCATCCACAATAACCAATTCTAGAATTCACCGAAATGTTTGTAATCGAACGCGTCCATTGAGAGTTTACGGTGATGGCCTACCTTTAACACAGAAATATTTTCCTGAATGACTGTCACGTGAGCTGAAAACTTCCTCTTTTCCTCTTCCTGTTCAGGTATGTCAGACTAATCATGCTACGTGTGGACGTCAGCAAACCCAGTTTGATATGTCCACCAATCCGCCCACAATAACGTACCAGAACGGAGATAAACTAAGTGGCCATGCAAGGTTTGGTTTGAAATCTGTTATTCTCATGATGGCCTGTGGCCAATGAGAGAAAGTTGTTGTTGCCGCTCCTGCTGCTGCTGCTGCTGCTGTTGCTGCTGCTGCTGCCTACTACTGCTGTTGCTGCTGCTTTTGCTGCTGATGGTGGTGGGGCTGTTGCTGCTGTTGGAGTTTTGTACATACCGTATTTGCCGGAGTATAGTGTACAGTTATCAATATACTATTTCAGGCCCCAAATCTCACGTGCGCACCATGCTCTGAACATGAAAATACATGTACGGTGTACTTTGAAACGTAGTGCAATGCATGAAATTGCTGCAAAGTTTGCCACCTCTCACCCTGCGCAAAGTCATACGTGTGCATTCCTAGTGTCTACCGTCTGATACACTGCAGAAATGTGTGATGGGTACGAGACTCCATCGGTAGCACGTGCATTGTACAAATGTACACCTTAGTAATCTTGGCTATGACAAGATGGTGATGAAGAACGAAGGACCACGGCACAAGACGGCCACAGCTCACTTCGAAAACGCGAAACAACGACCACCCAACTGGTATGTAGTATAGTACCAAGAGATAGTGTCGTCCGGTCTGTCTTGCTTCGTGATCGCGAAACTTCCCGTCTTTTGCTTATCTCTGATTACATGAGCCTCCCAAGTTGGGTGGTCGTTGTTTCGCGTCTTAGCAAGAGTCCACAACCCCCAGAGTGTGCAACGCGCGATAGGGTCTTGTCACGACTCGTTTTCAAATTACGTCACTTTCATGTAGCTACATGTCGCGGCCTGCACGCGCAGCTGCATGAAAATGACGTAATGTTGAAAACGAGTCGTGACAGAGATTTGTGTGGCGCTGCACACTCAGGGGGTTATGGACCCTTGGTCTTAGTAATCTTGTAATGCATTCTGACAATGGCCGCACTATTGTACTGTACTGGTATTGGCTTTACGATCGATAATGGTCTGAAATCCAGGCTGCGCATTATACTCCGGATATACCTTGAATTGCCAAACGGTTGCTCGAAAACGGGTGGTGCGCATTATCCTCAGGTGTGCGTTAGGCTCCGGCAAATGCGTCGCTGTTTTGAAATATGCTTGTGTTGCTGCATTTCTGGTCTTTGATCACTTTGTAGTGGGCGTGATCTACAAAATGAAACCGCAAAACCGCAAAAAAATATTGCAAAACAGTCCTACGGAGGACCGAACGTAGAAAAGTGCTTTCCTACCGAAATCCGTAGAGAAATTTACGTATGAAAGCTGTACTCACCTTTTTTTTACACGAAACCACGAAACTCGAGAACAGAATACCTCCCACCGCTTTAGGAGCTGCATCTGTACCTTGATCAATAGAGGGTGGTTGTGTTCCTACGGATGGGGAAAACCGGACTTCTAGCCAAATCGTGAATTTTGTTTGCTGCATTTTCTCATGCACATAATTATGTGTGTGTGTGTGTGTGTGTGAACGTGTATGCATGTGTTTGTACGTATGTGTGTGTGTATGTGTGTGTATGTGTGTGTGTATGTGTGTATGTGTGTGTGTTTGTATGTGTGTGTCTGTGTGTGTGTGTGCCTGTGTGTATGTGTGTATGTATGTGTCTGTGTGTGTCTGTGTGTTTGTGTATGTGTATGTATGTGTAAGTGTGTGCATACTTGCCAGCCCAACTAAAGCAAATTCTTTTCTCACACACCCAGTTTCCCTTAATTTTCTCTCACTTCCCTTATTTTCCTGGTTTTTGCCTATTTCGACCATTTTCTCTTTTTTGGGGCATTTTTTGATTATCTTTGTGCATTTTCTGCGCTTTTGGCAATTTTTCTTTCTTTTTATTCATTTCTAACCCATTGTTCGTTGGGGGACCAGAACCTGAGTTTCTTTATTGCGAGACCGCCCCTACAGGTGTGATTCTGTGAAATGCAGGGCCGCATGTGCCCTTGTCACACCACAGAACAACAATTTTATCAGGGCTCCCTGCTTTTGATGAACACCCATAGTTCAGTGCCAATCCTGGTAGTTTTTCGATCAAAGTCAAAAATCCCCGGTATGCCGGTAGTGACCGTAGTTTCCCGGTATAGTACCGGGAAAACTGGTATGGTTGGCAAGTGTGTGTGTGTGTGTGTGTGTGTGTGTGTGTGTGTGTGTGTGTGTGTGTGTGTGTGTGTGTGTGTGTGTGTGTGTGTGTGTGTGTGTGTGTGTGTGTGTGTGTGTGTGTGTGTGTGTGTGTGTGTGTGTGTGTGTGTGTGTGTGTGTGTGTGTGTGTGTGTGTGTGTGTGTGTGTGTGTGTGTGTGTGTGTGTGTGTGTGTGTGTGTGTGTGTGTGTGTGTGTGTGTGTGTGTGTGTGTGTGTGTGTGTGTGTGTGTGTGTGTGTGTGTGTGTGTGTGTGTGTGTGTGTGTGTGTGTGTGTGTGTGTGTGTGTGTGTGTGTGTGTGTGTGTGTGTGTGTGTGTGTGTGTGTGTGTGTGTGTGTGTGTGTGTGTGTGTGTGTGTGTGTGTGTGTGTGTGTGTGTGTGTGTGTGTGTGTGTGTGTGTGTGTGTGTGTGTGTGTGTGTGTGTGTGTGTGTGTGTGTGTGTGTGTGTGTGTGTGTGTGTGTGTGTGTGTGTGTGTGTGTGTGTGTGTGTGTGTGTGTGTGTGTGTGTGTGTGTGTGTGTGTGTGTGTGTGTGTGTGTGTGTGTGTGTGTGTGTGTGTGTGTGTGTGTGTGTGTGTGTGTGTGTGTGTGTGTGTGTGTGTGTGTGTGTGTGTGTGTGTGTGTGTGTGTGTGTGTGTGTGTGTGTGTGTGTGTGTGTGTGTGTGTGTGTGTGTGAATGTGTGTGAATGTGTGTGTGTGTGTGTGTGTGTGTGTGTGTGTGTGTGTGTGTGTGCATGTGTGTGTATGTGTGAGTGTGTATGTGTGCGTGTGCGTGTGTGCGCTCGTGAGTGTGGATGGTTGTGGGTGTGTGCGTATGTTAACCCACTTGTGTGCGTGGACATGCATGATTGTGCTCTTCCACATGACTTGTGCATTCACTGACACATTTTAACCAGTGTTGTTTTGTTCTGCACAGATTGTCCATATTCAAGTTAGTTTGTAACCAGGGTCAAGACCATAAGCTAACCATGGATGGGGAGAAACCCTCGGGACATTATGTAAGTTTCACTTGCACCATAATCATAAAGGTTTGAATAAGACTGGTGCATAGAGGAATGCATCTACGTAGTTGTTCGTACTAGTGCCCTACGACGACGGCCGCAATGGCCCACCGGACAAGAAGGAAGTTTAGGACAAAGAAAAAGAATTTATTTTCTTGCACGTGCTTATCAATTGTGCGTGTGACGTAAGCGTCAGGTCGCCGTACACTTACAAGTATGTATGTACAACTACTCAATATTCCGACAGCATGTTGTTTCGACCTTCGAGCTCGGATTTACTGCCTGAACCGATCGGAATGAAGTCTACTGAACAACAAAGCAATTTTTAAACCTGCGCAAAGCGCTAAAGTCAGAGTGTGCAAACTGGGATGAACAATAACACCTAGATGTGTAATCATCTTGTACATGTGTTGGAAGGCTTTTTGTGTGTGTGTGTGTCCAACTTATCTCCGTGTGACATAGCCGGCTTGAAAGAGTGAGCAATTCTGGAATATGCTCTTTTTCTATATCTTATGTCCAGCAATTCACACTCACGTCCAAGTATGCATGCGTTCAGAAACCAGCACCACCAGCCACCACACAACCGCCCCAGCCAGGTACCACACAAGCGCCGCAACCTCAGCCGACAACTGAAGGACCCGGGCCTCCACCAGCAGGCCCAACATCTCCACATCGTCACTCTGAGCATAACTCCATCAGCCTGGGCACCATCATGGATGTGTGGTGAGTTTAATAGGTTGTCCTTCTTGTCGCCAGCTCAGTCATGTGATCTACATCTAGATGAATAGTGTGCATGGTCATGAGACTAGTATGATCACATGACCTGGACAATCATGTGACCTCTGCAGTCATGTGACCACTGCAATGACTGAACTAATATTTGGGTCATGTGACTAGTTCAATGATGTGACATACATAGCCATGCGACCAGTACAGTCATGTGAGCTGTACAAAAATACAATGAGTGGAATTCCATGGCGAATACACCGTAGGCATAGAAACATCAATCAACAAAATTATGTAGGCGTGGAGGTATGACATTTTTTCATTTTTTATCCATGTCATTGTTCTCCATTCACTAGTACTGTAGTTTTCCACATGCTAGCGCTATGAATCTTGTATTTTGCACGGCCTGAGCTTTGCTATGGATAAATCCGGAAACCGCAAAAAAATATTTAAAAACAGTCCTACAGAGGACCGAACGTAGGAAAATGCTTTCCTACCGAAATCCGTGGAGAGATGTACGTATGAAAGCTGTCCGCGCTCCCCGACGCGTACGATATACGGATTTTCCTACGTAATCACGCAGAGCAGAATCTCCGTACTATGAAAAGCCCCATCTGGGGACTACTTTTGATAAGGGCTACTCTGTGTACATTATACAGACGATCTCGGCATTAAGAAGAGTGCATTGTACTTATACCTCTAAGTTACACTCATTGCCTGCAGCCGCGAGTGTAGGAGTGGTCACTCAACGCAGCTACCCAGACTGGTCACTGGTTGAGAGAGTAGAGGATAAAGTCTGTTGCAGGATAGTAGTAGTAGTAGTAGTAGTAGTAGTAGTAGTAGTAGTAGTAGCAGTAGTAATTATTTGACTAGGGGAGTCCCAACAGGCATGGCCTAGGATGAGTCGAAGTTGAGTGTATGTTTGCTGTGCCATTTCCAATCTCTGCCTCCAGTCTCCTGTTGCTGGTTGTGACGTACTTGGCAGTCGGCATGGCGTTTATGTACGTGCGACGCGGTGCTCGAGGCAGGGAGGCTCTGCCTAACCTCACGTTCTGGATGATGGTGCCCGGCTTGATCAAAGTAGGTGCCACGCATACAAAGCACAGTAAACTTGACAACAACACAACGTCCATGACATGTATCACCTGCCTTGCCTTGGTCTACCACTATAACAGTGCAAAGGAGCATCTCATGAGTTCAGAAGTGTATTGTGTAAACATAAGTCTGATTCGAACTTAGAAGTTGCAATCAACTTCATAAGTCTGAGTATCATTTCAAATAGACCTCACCTACTCTATTCGAACCCTTTTCGCATACAGTAAGTCCACAAATTGTCGGCCCATTCAAATTTCGGCCTCCCAGGGCTAAAACCCGTTACGGCCGCATCAAAGTGTCAGACTGTACTGCTGCCGCCTGTATACACTGTCACACTGAACATTGGAAAATAAATTTCGGCCGAAAATAGCCGAAAATAAATATGCGCCGAATACTAGTTGACTCACAGTACTCTAGTTCTTTGTTGCCATCTTCCATAGGTCCGTCCAATAGTAGTAATAGGTTTTTTTCATTTCACCCGACGAGACCACACGACGCTTGCCGACCACGGCAAGCGTCGTGTGGTCTCGTCGGGTCAAATGAAAAAACCTATTATTACAGTACTGTGTTTTGAACCGTGCCAGCAATGCATGCACAGAGTTCATTCACAAACTAGCTAGCTGGCATGTTTCATTCAGGTGAGACTTTTGATACCTCAGTAGCCTGCATGCAGCAGTGTCTGCTCTAGAGCCGGGTCCAGTCGGGTTAGCGGTTCGGTTTTGCAGGAGTACCTGATAGTCATGACGAGTACGTTTTAGACAGCACGGGTAGTCGGGTACCCGTGCTACCCGTGAGCACCTTGTGTTGACGGGTACAGAATACAGTGCTGCCAAACCGTCCGATTTTTCGGACAGTGTCCGATGTTCGAAGGCTCTTCCGAAAACCGGTCCGAAAAGGGAAACGTCCGAAAAACAGCCAAAATGTCGGAGATCATTACTTTCATATCCAGAAGTCCTGTACTTTCACTTTTCAGCGCAACTGAAGGCACAAATCACTGTACATTTGCTTCTAAAAAGGCTAGCGCTTGGCTGTGGAAGTGCAAAGTAACATGCCTGGATTAGGCTGGATGGCATGTACACTGACAGTCTGTACAGAGTCAGTGTGCGACCACACTCATCATTACAAAATTCATGACAACTCCGAGGTTACCATGGCAACGAAGCGAATTTTCATGGTGTTTTAGGCGATATTTTGAATTCTCTGTAAAAAAATTGCCGAGGAGAAAAATTCGCACCATGTGGCCAGCTTTGACGGTGAAGGCCGGTGTCCGATTTTGGGCGAAAATTATTTGGCAGCACTGAGAATAGTACCCGAAAACCCGAAGTCGCAGATTACATCATGCACAGTGCACGTGTACAAATTCATGTAATACTCCGTTTGTCCACCCAGTATGTAAGGGAAAGGGGTGCATTGTGGTGTTACCATGGAAACATTACCCGATCGGGTACCTGTGCTACCCGTGGAAAACTACCCGGACCCGATACATAAAAGGAAATGCTACCCGACTCAGCCCTAATTTTAGACTTCAAGGGAATACACACTGATCTGTCAGTGACAGGCAGAAGCGAGTGCCCGCTAGCATACATAGATTTCACGTGTACATCGGGGAGTAGTACCCCCCCCCCCCCTCTCCCCTCCCCCCCCCCCCCTGCACTTGAACTTACCCGGCTCTGACCCGGTTGGAAGAGTTGTGCCAGGCACACATGTATTTGAGGTATTTCACTGCCTTGCTTGTGGCATATTTTCGTAGGTGAACATGCATTATCCCCAGCAAAACAGCATGTGTACGAGCATGACACTGCAGTGTGGCTATACCGTCTCCTCTTTCTTCATCCTCTGCTTCTTTTGCTTCTCAGGAAGGAGCTTTGTTCGTTTTTGAAAAAGTCAAAGGTCTGCGAGGCTTTCGGCGGGGTGGATACGACGAGCTATGATATGCCTGCCTTAGTTCCTACCTCGAGCTACTCCCCGACAACATGTATCATGTAATATCGTGCATGTGCTCTTTGCTCTCTGAATGCCTTAGCTTGTAGTTATGCTATCTTCCCGGTGAAAATAAACCTTCTTGAAAATATAACCTTCTTTGGAAAGCATAGTTAGGCAACTAGTCAATGTTCTGGTTTCGGTGAGAGCTAGTTGCAACCCAGCAACGACAATCTTCACACGCATAATTGTATTTTATTATAGGAATTTAATTATTGCCCGGCACTTGACATTTGATTTTTGCTCAACTTATTTCTATTTCTCCCGAATCTCAATACAGATTCAAAATTGTCTCATTCGTTTCATTTTTTTCTTCCTTGAAATGTGGGCTAGAGACGATAGAAGCATGTCATGTCTGTAGATGCGTTTAGTTTTATCCACATTACTGGACGAGAGAATGTCATAATTGCTATTCATTGTCCACTCATCCCGAAATGCACGATTGGCTCATGCATTATTGATTCGTAAGGTAGAAAATAGCAACTAGGCTCAATCATCGACACACGCTCTTTATACTGGTTCTGTACGATACTTGAATACCCGTGGTCTAATGTCTGATCATTGGTGTTTTCAACCATGAAACTCTGAGTTCAAACAAAATTTAGCTTGTCCTTTCCTTTGGTTACCTCCTGTGTACTTGAATCTCACCATCTAAGGTTTTGATCACTCTAGAAGGTTAGGGCGCACTGCCCACTTGTTATTTGAATTATGTTGCCTTTGGTGGGGAACATACTGTACGTCTGTAATAGCCTTTGGTTGATATTTCTCGCGGTACAGTCAGCAGAGTAATTTGGTACTGTTGATGGTATGTTGCGTGTAAAGTTCACATTTAGGCATATTATGGCAGATATACCCGAAAACGTGTCTGCCGTTTTATTGCGTGTAGATCTGCCGATGTCAACGTCTTCTCGATCAGAATGTGCTCAAATGCGTGGAGCATTATCGGCGGAGTGTTACTCGAAACATGAAATCACTACATTGTAGTGGTTTGATCATCAGTAACATAAATGTTCGCACAGTATGTCATCATGGAGCTCAGGTCGAAGTGTAAAATGAATCAAGAAACAAATAATGTATGTCCTAAGATCTCAAGTTGGGAAATGTACAGGGCTATGAGAGAAAAAAACCATCACTGTGCAAGTACCGGTATCACAACATGATTGTGTCATCTCATATTCAAACACGGAGTAAAAGTCGCGAGCTGCATGGTCTATTGGTCAAGAGCTAGAGCTAACAATGTGCTAGCAGGTGCTCATGCTGATGATGGCTCCTGGAGAAAATTTGATTGAAATTGTACAGATTTTCAACGAAGAGACCATAACATGTTCCGTTTGTGATGATGTGGGGTTTGTAAATGTTGTAAGGAATGGAGCAATAAGCTGTGCGTGCTTTTTCCGGACAGCTGTAAGGATGAATAATCAACTATGCTGATCTTCCCAGCTGGGGCCTTCAAGTTCCGATGCAACACAGTGCAAAACAGTTGCAATACACATGGGGCGGACTGGCACAATAGGCTCATTGCACATGCAGCGCATAACTGTGCTAATGCATCAGGGCCTGGGGCAAACTGGCACGACCGGGGTATTGCACACATGCACAGCTTATGCCAAGTTATGGTGACGCAGTTCCGTTGCTGGTGTGAGTCGCACCTCCCGACATGCTGTTCAAGAAGATGTCAGCTTGATCTTGCCACTGGCGAGGTTTCCCATCTGTAGCTGCAGTTTTCCTGGACTGCTGCGCGGTATTGTCGCCAGGCGGGGAATTCACGGAGCGATGATGTCCCTGCGCGTACCCAGTTCCAGTAGCGGCAGCGTGATGATTGCGCACCTGATTCGTGATGTATTGGTTGTAGCTCGCTGGGTGATTACCGATCATTGACACACTAGAGGGGACATAGCCTGCATCAGGGCCGTAGTCTGCACGACTAGAATCTGTCATAGTGTTGGCAAGCGGGAGATTACCACGGCCCATCTGATTGCCGGTGTAATGGTACGAAGACGCCGGCAATGTCCTGCTTCGGTACTGCGCCCCGGGCAATGCCCCGGTCTGGTATGGGTATTGAGGCCTGGGCAGGGCGGGATGGGCGGGCTGGAGGTGTTGTTGAAGACGCTGCTGTCCTGCTCCATTTAGAGTAGGAGCGACAGAGCTACACTGTTGCTGATTGGTGCCTTGAACAACTCTGCCGCCAGGGCAGCAAAGCTGAGAGAGCCTGTCGTACTTCGCCCTACCACAGCACGCCACACGACTCGGATTCTGCCCGTTGTTGTGGTACAGTATTCCGGAACAGCACAACGAACCGCTGCGTGGCTGGAATGGTTGATTTCCGCAGCAGGACAGCTGTGAGTTAGAGCGCGTTGAGGTGATCTTGCTTCCGCAGCAGGTGCCAACTCTCGGGTCATAGACTACTGCATTTCCGCAGCACGCCTCGACGCCCTGGATGTACTTTTCAGCACCGCAGCATCTGTGACCGTTCTGCGGAGAGCCCTGCAAAACATGACCATTGCAGCACATGGAGGACCGGGGGTCGTAGGACAGGTGTCCGCAGCACAGCAACACCTGTTGCTGAACTTGCGCAGGGGTGGAACTACAGCACGTCTCCATGGCCGTTGTTATCACTTTCGTCAGAACGCGACGCTGAGGACTGGTCGATGACACCGGGTACTCACAGCACGTCTGCGTGCGAGTGTCGTACGCGGCGCGGCCGCAGCATCGTGCCAAATGCGCCGCGCCCTCCTGCACCTGCCGCACAGTTCCGTTGCAGCACAGCTCCTCACCGACTTCGTACTCGACGGCTCCGCACATAAGCTCCCCTGGATCAGGTGCTTCTGCCTGCTCGCCTGCTTCAGCGTCCTGGACAGGGACGCGAGGCAGAGTTGGTTGGTGGAGAATGTTATTTACAGGGACTGACTGTGCAATGCCTGGTAAGATAGGCTGTTGTTGAGTCAGGACATGCTGGTGTCCTGGTAATCTGGGCATGGGGTGGTGGGGAGACGGCACGGGCACCAACGCAAGGTTCCCACGAGGTTGCTGCACACCAATTGGGCGCGCAGGCTGCTGCGCCACGTCCACCACCGCAGCTATAGGCTGTGCGAAGAGATGAGCGTCCGGAGCGGGTGTGGGTTGTGGTGGCTTGTGCTGGGGATGGCGCGGCCCTGCTGGGCCTTGTTGGCCTGGGGATGGAGGATGTGGCACGGCAGGGCTCTTAGCATCCGAATTGCTTGGTGGCGCGGGTGGGACAGGTGAGCTAACTGCTACAGGTGGACTTCCCGCAACGTCAGCTGGAAGACTCGTCTGATCCACAATGACATGATGCACGTCGGGTAGCGATAAAGATTTCCCTGCCACGTACTTCTTCACGGCGTCGTTCACATCCACAGGTATCGCAGAGCTTGAGGGCTTTGAGATTGGACTGCCAGCGCTCGTGCCCTGTACATGCAAACGGAAACAAGTCACATGACATTGTAACGTTACATGTACATAGACGGTGTGGCTATGATGTACTACCCTGAACAAATCGTGTATGGACACTTAAGAAATTATTTCTCTCCAGTCTACTTATACTTATAAGGGCCATTGTTATGGGGTTTCCCCCACTTTCTCTAAATACATAAGATTGGTAAGAAGCAGAAGGCATGATTGTATTGACTTGAAACTCCACTACACCTCTACTTACACAGTAAAACCTGGTTTTTAAGCCACCACCCCACGGTGCGAGCAAAAGCGGTCGTTAAAGCCAGGTGGGCTTTAGAACCAGGCCCCACAGTGTCTGTGTAGAACTGTCGGTACATGGAAAAACGGTCGTTAAGAGCAGGTGGTCGCTAAACCTAGAGGTCGCTTACACAAGGTTTTACGGTAGTCGGCGCATGTGGTGGTAAAGAAACAGCAGGTGGAATTGAAGTAAATACATGCCTGCACACACACACATGCGCTCTAAGTTGAAAAAACTACAAACTGGCCCCGAGTTCTTCTTATCACCACATCCAATAAGAAGTTTGCCTGATGAGTCCAGCAGAGACACAACGTACCAAGCGCTACGTGACGTACCAGCGTGTTATTGCACCACTAGCCATGCATCGACTAGGCGCCATACGCACACCAATAGTGGTGGTGATGGTGGTATTGGTGGTGGCTGGGGCGGCGGTGGTACTGGTGGTGATAAATTGAGCCATGTGTCATATTTCACCTTTGCATACAAGGAAGCCTGTATCGACAGGCGTGCATTTGCCGTTATTTGTGGTGCATGAGGGAGAGGGGGGGGGGGGGGGTGCCTAGGTCAAGCGTTCAATTGTGTTGCTATGCTATGCATGAAGTTCCTCTTGTCCCGCGAAACCGATGTACTTGTGGTGTCACAGTGTTACTTCACTACAACGTACGTTCAATGAACAGAACATTCACAGCCTTATAGCCGAGATACTCCACGCGTACACTGTAACCGAGGGCTTGGAGGGAAACACGCCGGGGGCTCAAAATCGTGTACTTCGAAGCAGCGCATAATAATTCTTCTCCAATACAAGGAGAAAGGTACCTGGGTACTTGCGAAATTGGTTCACGCGCTTGATGCGGCCCAGGTATCTACGTCACGTAGACTATTGTAGATGTCAACAAAGTGTATAATAATACTGAAGTTCATTTTCAATGCAAGGTCGAAGAAAGGTAAATGTACCGCTCTATCAACGAAGTCGGTTCCCACACGAGGTCAGGTCCTAAGATCTACATGTACATCAAGTACAGGTACATCTACTTCACATACAGTGGACGGACGACCATCCGCCAAGTAATTAGTTATAGTTACAAACTGTGCAGTCACTACTGTATGATTGTTATGCACGTAAATCTCTGGAACAGAATCCGTGGGTATAACGGTGCTTCACATAGGGTACTAGAGTACAATGGAGGTCTGCTCTACTAATAGCATGCGATTAGAAAGGCTAAAGACTTGTATAATTCGACAGGACTTACAGTAGCAGATGTGTGAGCGCTTCCGGCGCGTTGAGACGTCTGCGAGCCACCTTTCTGCTGATGGGGCTTCCGCTGCGCGCCACCTGCTCCACCAGCACATTCGGCACCTGTGCAGGGTTGGTCTGGGCCGCCGTCGAATATGGTGTCCATGAGGACGTCGGAGACTAGGACTGGCGTTGGTGTGGGATCGGAAATCGGAATGGGATTTATGATGTGCAGGTCTGGCTGAGGAGGCTGTTCAAACTGTAGAACTGACGGATCCGTGGGGTTGGAAGTGGGCATAGAGCTAGTTTGTGACAGCATCAGGACATGCAGCAGGTGCAGGAACAGCCATATTCTCCGCTTACTAAATCCGGAGAGAGAATCCTTAGCAAACGATCTCATCTTCCTCTACATGTGCAAGCAACACATTCGCTGGCTTTGCTGAGAGAACTAAAAGTATTTCTCTTTCCTTAGAGAAGGTTGACATCGCAAGAACTGGCTGTCATTCTTAGTTCATTGATTTAGTTGTACAGCTAGAAATAGGGATCATACGTTCTGGGAGGCACTGATGGTCGGGCGGTGTCACTCCGCTAACCCACGGCCCTCCTGTGTAATTCCCACAGCCACTGAGACAGGTGATTCCTCGGTGCTAGTCTTGCCGCAAGTCGACATGGCTGTGGTGGCTTGCTCTCTTCCTTTGGTCTGGCCTTCACCAAGGCGCAATTACAATACTACATCCGTGAGAAACATCAGCCACATTGTACCTGTCAGACGCCTATTGTCCCGTCGTAGTGCGAGAAAATCACCCGTGTCCCAACGAGGATGTATCACGCGTACACTTGGATACCTAGTGGCATTAGAGTCGATGAAGACAGCTTTCAACGAGGTCCAACCGAGTGAATACAACAAATTACACCCCATAATTGGTCCAGACGGGAGTGTGAACCTTCCGTGCACTGCTCACCCGTACTAGGACCCTAGCCTAGGCGTAGTCTAGTAATGCTAGCACTGGCTGATGCTGGCGACCGGCATGCTGAGTGCAAGTGCTTGGCGCACGTAAGTGCACGGATTACACGATCACAGACGTACTGAACGTGGTCCATCTCACCCGTGATTGCATTCTACATGCATGGGCGATCGATCTCTTGATCGAATATCTACGAGATAGGAGAGCGCCGTGAAATGCCTGTGACTCAGTGTAGGACCAGTACTGGCAGTAGAACAGTATTGGCGTATGCAATAGCAGTGCACTGGGCCCATGCCCATGGAAGACACATTAGAGAGGAAACTAAAAATGATACACATCGTGTCGTCCAGTTACATGTACATCTAAATGCTGTACGGTTGACAGCAACCAATCAAGGTTTACATTACACATTGCACCATACATCTCCATGCATAGCCAAGGTGCCAGAGCTACACTACCGCAATATCGGTTATGCTTGATAGTGTCGAATTGAACTAATACTTCGTGGGCTAGAAAGTTGTTTTTTGTTTAGATCAAGACTGTGCCAACATCAGTTGGACTTCTAGTTCTCCTATTACATGTCTGCCAGGACGGTACGTGTACATGTACTTGACGTTTATAGAAATGTGGCAGCAGCTGACGAGTGCTACGCTGGGCACAGAGCTTTCATACACGTGGAATACAAGAAACCACGCGTCCAGTTACATGTACATCTAAATGCTGTACGGTTGACAGCAACCAATCAAGGTTTACATTACACATTGCACCATACATCTCCATGCATAGCCAAGGTGCCAGAGCTACACTACCGCAATATCGGTTATGCTTGATAGTGTCGAATTGAACTTCGTGGGCTAGAAAGTTGTTTTTTGTTTAGATCAAGACTGTGCCAACATCAGTTGGACTTCTAGTTCTCCTATTACATGTCTGCCAGGACGGTACGTGTACATGTACTTGACGTTTATAGAAATGTGGCAGCAGCTGACGAGTGCTACGCTGGGCACAGAGCTTTCATACACGTGGAATACAAGAAACCACGCGCGATCAATTGACTGCTTCCGTATGCCTAACAATAACAATATTCGCGGGATCCGCGTCGGCATCGCTTGAATGTTCAGAAGCACACAAACTAGCCTTCGCATCTGCCTATTCACATTAGTGCCAAAATAGTGGCGACTGCAGACCTCACAAGTGGGTCAGGAGAGAGGAGGTTAGTCTATCAACCAATCGGGCGTGCAACGGCCCATAACCCTGTTCCGTACGCTTACGAAGAAGAAACCCCGATGTTAGATATTCGAACCAAACCCCCTTGATTCACAAGGCCAGAAATACCATTCCACAACAAGAATGGAGACTACTGCGAAGTAGGACAAACAAATGCAAGATGTGATGGCCGGAACACAACACGATTTCAAAGACCTCTCGTAACCACTATAAAGGATAGACAATACGGACCTGTTTATAAGCTACATACATGTGCATATGCACGACTTTGCAAGTGGTCCGCCAAATCATAATAATAGTTACTGCCCCCCCCCCCCCCTCACCACCACCATCATCCGAAACAATCATATTTTTCAGGTCATTGTCACATGAGCACAATTCATCCAGACGCATGCTACAGATGGACAGCGTGAGACACATACAAGTACAGCTACATGCACGTTGCAGAACGGCATTAAAACGGAATTCCAAAAAATAAAAGCTGTCGTCATACGGTTGATGCGTGAGAATGGGTTCAACCAACATGCAGGGTCATGCTAGCGGCATTCCTCGTACGTCGTAACACCATCTCTAGAATCATACACCTTGAAAATATGGTATAGCAGCGGAATTGCATAAACTATCGGTCGCAATAAATAATAGAGTTGGCCGGGTTCGCGGCCGCATCATCGTCAGATGTTGAGGAACACATAAAGCAAAGACATTCACAGCAACAAATAAACTGGGGTAAAAATCAACACCTGATGTCCTAATAAGTAATATTTGAGGTGCAAAATAGAATAGTACTAGTACTAGTACTAGTACTTGTGTACTGAGTAGTAACCATGGTAACCATCATGCAGTGATCACGCATTGACGTCTAGACGACTACTTTCCTATTGAAAGCTCATACATCGCACTGGGAACACGCGATCGCTTTCGCGCTCGACATTCTTTACTTATGTAGAGCGTCTGGGAGCCGTTTAGCACCGTGTTGCCAAGCCTGTACACGTCGCCATTCATCTCGATAGGGCTGTAGCAGCTCATACAGTCGTACAGCGGGTGCGTGGAGCGGCCTGCACAGCTAACCTCGACCAGTATGCGCTGAGAGGCAAACATACTTGCGGATCGCGGTAAGACATACCAACTGATGCGGATGGGACAGGGTCGAGAGCGTAACCGCATCGCCGAGGCCGCCATGGCGTTGGTTCGGGGAGCTTTTCGCGCATACAAGTAACCTATGGTCAGTCGTCTGGCCGGTGCAGGGCTGTGGCACTGTGACGTGCGAGTATCCATGGCAATGGCATCGTTGCCTTGATCCAACTGTCGGCCATTAGACGTCATCGATGTGACGTCATCGCGTTGTACTGGGTACCCATGTGCTGGCGAGAAGAGATACGTAACGGACAGTAACATCATTCGCAGCAATATACATGTATTCCAATCAACGTATCTAGTTTGGCGTGAAGACTTATCCATCACGAAGCGTTCGTCTGTGCAACCTTCTTCCACCACCCAAAAGGAATGACAGGAAAAGAAACCCGAAAGAGTGACCGCCTGAAAGTTGAATTTTAAAGGTGTTTCAAGCCGAGTCCCAATTTCATTGCATTTTTTAGAGGACGAGGAGATTCAATCTATAACTTTATAAGCTCCAATTTGTTCCACTGATCTGCGAAAACAGATTCTATGCTACGTATTTATACAAACAGGCTGCATTAACTAGCGGAAATGATTATTAGTTCCGGTGTTGCTGTGTTCACACACACACACAGACACACACACAGACACACACACACACACACACACGCACACATGACTTCTAACTGTGGATGATGTAATCCCTGGACTGCAGTTCTTGTTGTATGCATGTAGTACAACCAGTCTTGAATACCAGAGTGCTGACGGGGGCTAGTAAGCTAAAACAAAGTATCGTACTTCACATCCATGCACATGCACTGTACTCGAGCAGAGGAGAGCATTCTATTCCCCACCATCACTTGTGCTAAGACCAGTCATAAGAATTCCCCAAGAATACTACTACTCTCACGAATGAAATTGCAAAGAGCGATCCTCACAAAATAATAACGTACTTGGTCCGACTTATTAAAATGTGCGCTTCACTTCAAAACTCAAGCATATGTACAAAGGAGCACCTGTACTAAAAAATCAACCAAGAGACGTTAGATAGATAACTACTCTGTCGTTTCTTGGCCTGACCTTCTAGTTTTCATCGCTGCTGGTGTCTCAGGGCGCATCTGCAAGTGCGTCAACCTGCAAAACGTCGACATTTTTTTCATCTCCTCCAAGCTACACTGCGCTTCTTTGATTGTTTCACTCCATAGGCACGATTTAGACGATCGACTTCGCCTCCTCCTCGTGCAGTACGACTACCAGAATGGTGGGTGTAGGTGTTTTCGCCTGAAGCTTTCACGACACCTTCAAATGAGGCGAACAAGTAAACCACCACGCATAAAAAAATCACTTCTGGCCACCGTGTACCGCGCGCGTAGGTCTACTGATCATGCGTCTGATCTGTGTCGACTTGTCATGCAGTCAGACCATGCGTGCTCTTCCCTGCCTGTTTCACGAATCCACTGGCCCCGGAGACTGGCGATCTTGTGTAAGTAATTAGTTGTGACGCATCGCGATCGCGGCTCCGAGGACTCCGCACCGTATCCGCCGGATAATCCACCCTTTCTGCGCTTCAGTTTTCCAGCCAGGTTGTCGCCTGAAAGTCGACCTCAAGGCCGGTTATTTTTTCGATCAACTTCTCGACGATCACTTCTGTGATCTTGATTCGTCGGCCGCCACATCGTGAACGACTGCGAGACAGATCAGCAAACTGGACGGAGCGATGCTGGTGCTTTCTGCACGAGTTTCTGGATGACGCGTTTGCTGAAATTCTGCCAAGGAAACAGGGATTGCAGCGATTTCAATCCGCCAGGAGGCACTCGAGCACGATCGTCCAGGAGGTTCTGGTACTCCGTGACAATCCCCCATCGCAGCGGGGTGTTGATTTCAGCACCAGGCCTTCTCTGTGTTGCGCGAGAAGCAACAGGAGTCCTCTGACGACAAAATTTGGACGCAAAATTCTCGAGTCGACTAGGATCCCGAGCCGCTGCCTCCGTTGGAGTTGGAGCCATTTCTTCTTCAACATCACAAATTGACAACTGAAGGATAGTGTTAGGTAGCTGTAAAGTTTATTCCATCCTGAGATTATTTGAATTTGTTTGGTTGACGTTCGAAGCGAAACGCACATTTTAATAAGTCGGACCAAGTAGCAGAAATCATAACCTGATTCAGCCATGTTCAGTTATCTTGGCAATCTCTAACGGCCATACTACATGACTGTACAGTTGTCTGTTGGAGTTTGAACCTCGGACAAATGGGGTTTCCCCGACTGGTCAAAGTCGCCCGTAGCATCAAGAGATACTAAACAATACGCCACTTTGGGAAAAAATTCGTCAACGCTATTGATCACATTGTCGGTGGGAGAAGCTCGTAGTACATGTTTATCAAGCCATCGTAAGTCTGGGATATAAAAAATGTACCTGTACTTTAGTACTGTACATGTTCCGATAAGTGTTACGACAGGGTGTGCCGGATTTGTGCCACTAGCGATGCATGTAGGATTAATGCGTGCATGCCTTTCAAACTACCTCTAGCGTGGTGTTCATATTGAGTGACAGGTATCGGGTGCGTGTTAGTTTG